CCCGCCCCCGCCACCACCCACGCCGCCTCTGGCGCCGCAGCCCATACCGCAGCCACCAGTTCTCCAGCCAACGCCACTGTTCGCAGCGCTCCCACCAAACCCAGGCTCAGGTCACTTGGAGTCCACCCAGGCTCCCTCCCCGCCCCTCGCCTTGGCTGCAGACCAGGCCCCAGCCCCATCCCCGGCTCCAGCTCCCACTAAAGCCGAGCCATCACCACCTGCGCCCACGCCCGCGCCCATCAAAACCCGCACGCGCAGAAACAAGGGCCCGCGCGCTGCCCGGGGCGCGACCCGTGAGGATGGTGCACCTGGAGAGGGTCCTCGTGAACGGACCGCAGCTACCATGACTGACAGCGGTGGTGGAGGTGGTGGTGGCGGAGCTCCTCCAGCGGGGACGGCTAACACTGGTACCCGACGCCACTGGCCGCCCTTCCAGGTGCTTAACTCTTGCCCCTGCAAGTGTTACTGCCGCCACCAGCCACGCCATCGCCGCCTGCCACGCAACGTGTCTGCCTGGTGAGGGGAGGCAGGGGGTTAGGGAGGGAAAGTGGGGAGTTATGGAGAGAAGGGCATACCCCTTTTAAGTCCCAAACCCAACTTCCTTGGGTAGAGTCCCACTTAGTCCTTTTGCTCATGACCCCAGGTTACCCTTGACCTTTTCCTTGGCTGCAACTCAAACCAACTGGGCTCCAACCCTTCAAGCTGACTCCTGGCCCTGTTACTTTCATTACTCTCTGGAGCCATCAGGGAGGGAAGCTGGTCCCAGCTGACAGTCTTCACAGCCTTGACACTGTCCTTGAGAGTACCAAGAGGGGCCATGTTCCAAGCCCCTCAGGGACGGGAAGGGAGATGACTATCTTCTGGAACCAAAGGGATATAAATGCAGGATTCCAAAGGAAGTCCCTGGTCTAGCCCCTCAAACTGCCACGCCTCCCTCTAGCCTCTGGCAACTTATGACTCTGGGACCCAAGGTTTTGACTGCCAGCAGGTACTGATGTTCCAGTCAGTGCTGCAGACTACTCCTGAGTCTTCAGATCCAGGGGAGACACTATAATCCAATTACCCCCACATTGAATTTCAGGATCGGTCACCCTGGCTCCTGGGAATCCTGAATCACTAGGAGACCCACTGCCCTGGACCCCTTGGAGCTCCGATTAGGGGGAGTGGGGGATGTCACACTATCACCAAATCTCAGCCCCCTTTTCCTACTTAGTTTAACTGGATACAGCCCTGCCCTAGACTGCCTATAGTATATTCAGACATGGTCCCTCATGTAGATGGAGAAAGTGAAGCCTAGAAGGGGTAAAGCCTCACCACGCAGCCAGACTCTGCTGAATCTACTTTCATCCTAGGCTGAGCACGCCCACCAACCACCTGAGCGAGCCCTCCTGGGTTGCCACCATCAAGTTGGCCGGCTCCCTGGTAGCCGGGCTGGAGCACTTCGACTTGCAGGCCACCCATTCCAACTGAGTGTAGTCTGTTCAATGGCTTCTACCTTCCCCTCCTTGACAATAAAATAACCAACATCCAGATGCCTAGCTGCCTGTTCAAGTCACCTGCTAAGGGTTGAAGGAGTGGGGTGGGGCATGGCAGAAGTCTCCATGCAGGCACCACATCCTAGAAACAGGTTGGACCCAGAGCAATAGTAATGGAAGTTCCATTCATCCACCATCCAGACTGATGGGGCCCAGTGAGATGGTCTCATTCCCCATAATACCATCAGCTCC